CTTTCTCCAGTTATAACCCACTGTCCTGGGCTATTTATGCTTTTTGTTTCCAGCACAGGCATATAAATGCATGTAAAGCTGAATGCTTGCCCCCCCATGCTGCCTTTGCTCTGGGGATACCTCCCTAAAAGAGCTGGGGAACATGCTGCTTCATGGGGAAATCCTTTGCTACGGGGCTGTCTCTACAATTTATGACCAAGCAGTAGCAACCATGGTCACCTTGTGCCACTGAGGCCAGCCCAGCCCTGGGGCAGCAAAGAATGGAGGAGGAAAGCAGGAGTGCAGAGGGCAGGTTGGACCCAGCGATGAATGCGTGTGAACATGTGAGGTTTTGTGCCCGTTAAGAGGGAGCCTGAGCAAGCGCCGCTCGAGCAGTGTCTTTGCATAGCTGTTCCCACAGAGCTGGGTCCCTCCGGGGACCTTGTCTCTGACTCCAGAGCCAGCTCAGACCCTCGCAACCCAGAAGGTTCCCAGCTTCACCCAAGGGAAGAGGCAGTGGTGGGAAAGGAAGACCTAGGGAACCTTGCAGAAGACATGGAGGGAGGAAGGAGAGGGCTTTGCTTACCCAGAATAAGGGAGAGATGGTACCCTGGGCTTCCAGCAACCCACAGACCTTCCCTACAACTTCCTCTACCTATTCCAGACCCCCCCGTGCAAGCAGAGGTGGCTGCCTACAGGCACGTGCAGGCTCACACCTCACCCCTTGCAGTGGTTTCCCATACCAAACAGCAACAGGAAACTTCAGTGAAATTCAAAAGGGAAATTGCAGTTACCACTGCCCAACACATACACACGTGCCTTCCTCCCCTCCACACCCGCTTCCTCCTGGAAAGGGAAGCAGAGGGCCTTTGCTGCAAGGCAGCCCCTACCCAAACCCCATTCACATGCCCAGAGCCGTACACAGCAGTCACGCTGCCCGTGGGCGCAGCAGAGAGAGAAGCACAGCCCCAGCTTGGTCGCTGGCGAGACATCCCCGTGCTGGGGTACGTGCAGGAGGAGCCGCTCTGGGTCCCATCTCCCGTGCAAGGCCGGCGATTGCTTTGGATCTGTGGTTGCCGATGAGGATGTGCAGGAATGAATGGGCTGTGTGTAACGGGCAAGGTGATGAGGGGGTGAGGGGAGGAGGAAGAGCGCTGCGCTACGCCTCCGCTGCCTCGACTCCTCCCATGGCCTCCTTAGGACGTCACAGGCTGGATGGGGAGCAGGCTGCCGAACTTAAAGTGCTGGATCACAGGAAACTTCTCCAGGCACTGCAGGAGGGGAGATAAAGAGGGGTGAATTCAGGAGACATTTCCACCTTACACGCGCAGCCAGAGCTACATCCTGCCTCCAGGATCAGGAGGCAGCGAGCTCGGGGCCATTCGGCTCAGCTGCAGGCAGACGGATCAGTCCCATGTCTCCCCCCTACCACCATTCCCCTCAGGCTCCTCAGCCCAGTAAAACTTTATAACCCCATCCCCTTCCCTTCGGCCAGAACCTTTTGCTTGCTGAAAATCAGGCCTCGAGCATGAGCAGAAGAGGCATGTTTATGTCAGCAGTTTTCTCTCTCACCACCTCTCATTGCTCAAGCTGATCTCTTTGAAGAGCTTCACCCTACAAACCCTTTGAGAACTGCAGAAACTCCCCGGGGAAGAGGCTCTCCCTCCCCAGCATGGTGCCCATGCTCCGGGTTCGAGGCACCATCCTCCAGCTGCAAGGCGCTGCCCAAACTGCATTGTGGATTCTCAGGTCTTTGATAGACAAGCACCAGTGATTTTGCTGCCATAGTTTAAGACACGATCCTATTCCCAACAACCCCTTGCCCCTGAAATTCCCATCCCCCACTGCAGAATAAGGGTAGAGGGAGCGTGGATCACAGATCAGTCATACATGTCCACCGTGAGGCAGCTTAGCTCACAGCTGCTTCGTCCAGCTAAGACCAGGCTCTGCGCCGGGAGAGCTGGGCTGCGAGGGCATAGCCCCTTCTGCTCACTATCCTGCCAGGGCAGGAAGGCCAGTGACTATGGTCAATAAGCACGTCAAAGTTTGCCAGTACTTGCCCAGCAGAGTCACTCAGTGCTCTTTTTTTGAGTCATTGCAGACTCAGACTGCCCAAAACTCACAGAGAGCACAGAGCAGACTCACGTCCAGACACACAAGCCTCAGCAGTACGTGTACGCCAACCCTGCAGCTGCATCTCCACTAACGTCACCCACGCTAGCTGTGAGTGGTTGTGCTAAACAAGGGCTGTAGGCCACCTCACTGTGCTGCAATGGGGACTCATCTACCAGGGCGCTTGGGGGCATCGCTAGTGAGATGGTGGCCACCTCCTCACTGCAGGCAGAGGGGCAAGTTCTTCCCTTCCTAGACAGCACAATATGAAGAGGAGAAAAGAAACCCAAGTGCCCCAAGTCTTGGAAGGAGAGACTTTCCTTTGTACCCAGCTGAGGCATGGGTCTGCTGATGGGAGTCTTATCCTCCAGGAGGCATGAAGTACATACAACCAAAGCACAGCAGCTACCAACCAAGAGGAGTCCATCTAGTCCCAGCAATTCCTTGGCACGAACAGCATCTGCTCAGAGCCAGGGTCGATGGGATTCTGCACTAGGCAGGCGCCCAGCTCCCCACAAGCTGCAGACCCAGCAGCAGGAGGGTGTCAAGGCCACACCAGCTCCCGCCCGCAACCAGCAGCCTCCCAGGCAGATCTTGGGGACAAGATGCATGGCTCGTTCCTCCAGGCATTTCTTCAAGGTACAGTTCCTTCCTACCAAAGGGAGGCAAGAGCCATGTCGTAGTTACAACTCTCCATAGGAAGGAGTCCTGTGCCCTCCACAGGGCTGAGGTGAACCCACTGCAGCTGTGGAGATCCCAGCTCTGGGGATGGGGAGGAAGCAGTGAGCTGCAGACAGCTCTTCACCCCAAGGCAGGGCACAGCCAGAGGCAGGCAGCCTGCCCTCGTGCTGTCATCATGGGCAAGCAGGAGGATTTGTGCTCGGAAGCCCAGGCCTATGGTAATCCCTTTGGAGCCATAGGTCAGATAGCTGGTTCCAGCACAACTGAACTGCTCGCAAGCACACTGGAGCCAAAGCAAATTTGGAGGCGGTGAAGGTACAGCACAGCTGTATCCACTCCTGGGAAATAACAGCCATGCAGGAAACCACAAGCCTCCATGGCAAGGCACCAAGGAGAAAGAAGTCCTGCGACCATCAGGGCACATCACCTTCAAAGCTTCCTAATGTGTGGGATGCTCAGAGCTGCTGCCATCTTCCAGCACAACCACTTAGACAAACCCTCAGAGGAAGCAGTGCTGGACAGCAGTGACATGAGGGAAGAACAGAGAGACATGAATATTGAAGATGTTGACAGCTAGGAATGTCATCCCAACCAGCTCCAAGGAGTCCCACAGAAGACCGGACCGGTTTGGGCTCTGGATGAAGAGACTTTACCACCAGTGGGAAGAATGGGTATCCATTCTACTTAACACATTGCCAGCCCAAGAAGAGACAAGCAGAGAAACTTCTCCTCTCTCCAGCTGGACTAGCACAAATTTACTGGATTATTAGAGGTGCCAAGGGACAGGACCCTCCTTGCAGCACTTGTGGGTGAAACTTAGCCAACACTAGCTCAATGGAGGGGACAGGCTTATTTTCTTCTTGCCATCATCTTGATCACGCTGAAGGCCTGCTCGGAACTCAGCTGGGGAGTAGAAACATGCTTCAGGTCCAACCTTTAAAGATGGAACTGGGACTAGATTAGTTACAATGGAAAGCATTTCCTGACTGACTGCAGCAGAGAAGGAAAGGTCAGAAGACTCAAAAGCAGGCTTGGGGGAAAACCATCAAGGCTGTTGCTTTAACCACACTCTATTCTGTCAACTTCTTCACTCACTTTTGATGGAGAGAATAAGAAAAGCCCTTGCACTTCCAAGCAAACACATCTTCATCCATTATATTTTATAATATAAATAGACACATCTGAGATTTCATAAACACACAGAGCTGAAGACACATTGTTTTCAGTCTACTGCCCATTCACAGACCCTGCAGCAAGCACCCTGGAGTGCCTGGATACAGACTAGAGCTCCCAGCCACATGGATGCACCTGAGCTTTCTGTTGGCTGTTTAAAGTCATCCCATAGCAGGGACAGAGCAGAGACAAAGCATCCAGAGTGCTTTTGAAGGAGCCAGGTCTGGGGACTGCCCTACTCCTGCCAAGTGAGAGCAGGTTGCGAGTAAGCATTTGATCTCTCCTGGTCTGCTTCTAGCAAGTGAGCCCTTTGCCCGGCTGCTGCCTCCAGTCAAAACCCACTCACGGTCAGTGCCACGTGGCACCGAGCGCTTCTCAGCTACCCCAGACATGTTAAGAAGCCGGAGTCTCTGTTCGAGTGTCTGATTTCACCTGATCTAATTGCAATGGGTGATCAAAGGGGCAGGGAGAAGGGAGGAGGAAAAAAAAAAAGGAAATCTTGCTCTCACCTTAGCCCATCAGACAGAAATCAACACCACAACCCCAAACCTTCCCTCCCTTTACTATCACACACCCTGAGCTCTGCCACAGAAGCTGCCTGCCTTGAGCTGGACGAAGACCCATGTCAGCACTTGAGGGCTGTTGGCTCACTTATCTTCTGCTAATGTTGGCAGTGGCTAATTGGAGAAAGACCACAAGGGTGAAGGCAACACATCTGGGAACATCGAGCAGAAACTTGCTCCAGGAGCCAGCAGCAAACAGACAAGATCTTCAAGAATGACTGTGGGTGCTTAGTCTGAAACACCCAGAAGGATTCAGTTTTCAAAGGGTGAAGCCTCAGCGATTCCTGAACACTGTGTCTTTCCCAGAAAACCAGTCAAAGAGATCCTCTAGTTGCAAATGTTGGTAAAAGCTGCACGGCCAAGCACACCACAATTGAAAGCTCTGTCCAGCCACACTGTCATGTCCATGCTCCTCTCATCTCCCAAGCCAGGCAGGAACCAGCTGAGCCAGCAGCGGGGTGGGAGACTCCCCAGAGCAGATACAAAGAACCAGCAGGAGTCCCCCCTCTCCTCTGCCCATCCAGGTGAACACAGCACTGTGCAGTGCCAAGAGAGGACATTGCTGCATGGGGACCACGTGCTTAGGAATAGTGCTTTAAGATTTACACACATGTCCTTTGAGGGGGGAAAAAAAAAAAAATTAAGTGCTTTGGCTGACTTAATGTTTTCTACACCTTAGCCTAAATTTGCGTCGTTACTCTTCCTAGCCGCTTTTGCATTCTCCCCCCTGACACAGCTACATCTCTAGACATTTCTAAAAACCCACCAGGACCGGATCTGGCATTTCTACAATGTCATCTGCTATTCAAAATAGACCGAGGCCTCCAGAAAAGACCATGTCTTGGGTGCACCTAAAAGAGCCAAAGAATCTCCCAGTCTCTAGAGGATCCCCAGGCTGTGCTGTCCTCAGCAGGCCAGGTAGATCTGCCAGCATACGGTGGCCCAGCGACATCCATGGACACACACGCTGCACCGTGGGCATGTCACTGCCAAGCTCCTCCAGCCATGTATGTGGTGCACGAGGTGGGAGAAACCATACGGCACAGGGCACGTGCGGCACCAGGCAGGAGCACCCAAACAGCATGGGGCGCACAGGATGCCAGGGGAGTGTGAGAAGGAACTGGTCCAAAGGAAAGGAAGGACCAAGGCAGCGCTCTTAAGGCAGCAGCAGCCATGCTCAGGCTCTAGATTTTAGGGGACCCATGTTTCACTTTAACAGCCCCCCAGACCCTCCAGACCCCCAGCTCTCACACCAGAGCCTCCAGCTCAGGGTTTCCCAGCAGGCAGCATTTCCAGCCCCCATGACGAAGCTGCGAGCGGGGGGGCAGTCCTGAAGGGGCAGCCCAGGGGCACCCCTCCAAGGAGCAGCCAGTGGAGGGGGTCAACCCCCAGCCCGGATTCTCTTCTTCGGAGGCCTGGAGGAAAGCTGAGCTGGGGGCGGAAGGAGCCAGCGGGCCTGGGAGTGACACCTCACAGATTAGAGAGGTATGTGGCCTGGAACCTAAACACAGGATGTGCAGTGCAGAGGAAAGGCTGGGGGAGGGAGCGTGCGGAGTTCGGCACAGTTAACCCCTTTGTGCGCTGGGCCTGAGCGGAGCTGCCAGCCGAGCCTCTGCCATATGTCCCAGCAACAGGAGCATGGCAGAGACCACAGAGTATAGGATTAACTCCTTCAAGCCCCACCGGTCTCCCTGGGCACACCAGGGAGCTGCGCCATCCCTGTTCCACCATCCCTGCTCTTTCAACGGTGACTCCCTGCAGAGCCAGCATGGTCCCATCCTTCCCAGCAAGAGATGCTGCCTGTCGGCTGTTCCTGCCAGAGGCCCAGATGTGACGGTTCCTGTCCTGCTTCCTCAAGCTCAGGGTTAGCTCGAGCAGGAAGGAGAGATAAGGGAGAGCCAAAACTGCCCGGTTCCCCAGGTCAGGGTTCGTCAGGAAAGCCTGCTGGGGCAACGCCAGCAGAGCCCCGGTGGGTGGAGGGCTGCCAAGCTGAGGAGGTAGCTGTGGCCTCACCGGTCCGGCACACTGCATGGACAGGACTGTAGCGAGGGGATATTGGTAGGAAGCATTCAGCCTGCTCTGGGGCTCTTGAAACATGGGATGATAATTTAAACGAACTCTCCTCCAGCTGGTAAAATAGCAGTGCAGGGACCAGAAGAACAAGCAGGACAAGACATTGGCCCTAATTTGGAGACCTGCAACTTGCACTATGGGAAGACAAGAAATGGCAAAAGTCTTGTCTTCAAGGAATGGCTGTTTTGGGATTGGTTTTGGGGCAAACACTGGGCAGGCAGGAGCCTCCTTCTAGCCAGCAGCACCTGAACTGCCAAGGGCTCCCAAGTCACATTCAGCACAGGGCCCCCACCCAAGTTGCAGCAGAAGGGTAGAGCTGATCCACAGTGAAGTGGAAGGGAGGAGGCGTGTGGTGAAGCAGCCTCCCCCTGCCCATGGTGCTCACCTCTGCCTTGTACATGCGGATGAGGCCCTGGTTGACCTTGGACCAGGAGGGCACAGCACTGATGTTCCAGAGCTGGTTGGAATGCTCGGCAAAGGGGCCTGTCCCACCCAAGTTGCAGCAGAAGGGTAGAGCTGATCCACAGTGAAGTGGAAGGGAGGAGGCGTGTGGTGAAGCAGCCTCCCCCTGCCCATGGTGCTCACCTCTGCCTTGTACATGCGGATGAGGCCCTGGTTGACCTTGGACCAGGAGGGCACAGCACTGATGTTCCAGAGCTGGTTGGAATGCTCGGCAAAGGGGCCTGTCTTCATCTGAAAAAGACCCAAGAGCAGGGCTGAGGGAGCCAGGCCAGCCAGGAAGCTCGTGCACCAGCAGTGACTCACGCTCACACTCTCTCCAAGCAAACATTCCCACCAAGCCCTGTGACCCACGCACTAGCCACCTCACTGCGCCTTCCCTCCCTCCCTCTGCGCTCCCTCCCGCTGCGGCCACATCACATGAAGCCGTGGCAATCCAGCTCCCCCCTTCCCTGATAAAATTAAGTCTCTTCCTGCCACGCTTTCCTAATCAGACCTCCCTCTGCACACCTCCCTTTTAATGACTGCGTTAAAAAAGCCCCACATAAGTCCCGTTCTCCCCCCCTCCCTCCAGTAGAGCTTGGCTCAACGCTGTTCCTATTCTACCCAGAAACCTCCCAGTGCAGCACTGCTGGGCTTTCCAAGAAAATGACTCATTCCCCATTCAGATCAACAACAAGCAGCAGCGACAACCGCTGCTGCCTTCCCTGAATACAGAGGGCAGCGCAGGTTGGCAGCAGCTCCGGTGTCCGCAGCCCACTCCACACCTGCCTCTAGCAGAGGAGGGCTCTGGGGGGAGGCAGAAGCCGAGGGGACATGCTCCAGTCCTGTTCTCCAAACCAGCTCCAGAGCTGTGAGTTGCTAGCTTGCAGCAGATGCTTTAGATTTTTTTTTTTTAAATACTCCAGTGTTTCTCCTCCCAGGGTGAGGGGTTTGGAGGAGCGAGGGCATGGGGGAAGCTGCAATCAGGGACAGTTGTATGTAGATTCCCTGGGTAGTTGTCTCTCCTTCTCCTCCATGAACAAAAACAGACCCTCGGGGAGAAAAAGAAATACAACGCAGCCACTCTGACTGAGAGAAGTTCCCATGACATCAGAAACCACAAGGCCGAAGCTCACGCTAAAAAGGAGCGTGGGGAGAGAGGAATCTCTTGGACTCTCGTTCCTGACTCGGGGCTTGAACAACCAAGCCCTTCCCTCCATGCACGCACAGGCCTGGAGCAAGGGTGGGAAAAGAACCTCCAAAACCACCTCTCTGCCGACTGTAAAAGCAAGCAAGGCTGATCAATCTGCTTTGGGAAATTGCTGCTGCCCTTCTGCAAGGTCTGTGTGGCACCAGCCTGCAGCAGGGAAAGACAGAGGGAAAGGGCAGGGAGGAACCCAAAAAACCCCACTGCTTGGAGGACATCATGTTTCAAACCTGCCAACCTCAGGGCTAGAGCACTGGGGGAAGCGGGTCTGTAGTTTTGCCCACTGCCGGGAGAGTACAGACACATCCCCGCTTCCCCTTGGCAGTTCTTGTGAGCTGGGGGATGACGGATGAGCCACTCGGCCGTTCCCGCTCCCCTTTGCCGTGTGTGCTTTCCTTGCAGATACAAGATGAAACGCACAGATACACAAAGCACAACGTTACCCGACAGAGCCGGCGCATTATTAAACGCAAGGATTTGGCACTGGCAGGCACCCGAGTTAAAGGCTGCCGGGGAGCTCAGCGCCAGGCGGTCTGCTCAAAGCATCCCCCCCCGTATCAGAGATTTGGCTGCATGCGTTTCGACACCAAACCTTCCTCCAGCTTTGCCGCCCTTTGCAGGGGCACAGCTTGCGTCAGCCACCACCACTGTGCTTTGCTTCTCTCCCCTTCCCAAGCTGGGGTGAGCACGGAGGAGGCGAGCGCGGATGGCCAGCCCCACGCTCATGCCTGGGGCTGTGTGAGCGGCGCGGCCGCCACCACGGCCCTCCTCACCCAGGGCGTCCGGTGAGGGACGGCTTGGCTACGGTTTCAAACTGGGGAGGGAAAAATAAGGGGGACGAGGGGGGGAACAAAAGAAATCATCTCCTTCCAGCCACAAAGGGCGAAGAGGGAGAGCCAGGGGGGAGAGCGAGAGGCGGCGAGTGCGCTGCAGTCCCGCAGTGACCCCAGGGGAACAGAGTGAGTCAGAGCAGCCATATTGAGCAGGAAATTACTCACAGACGCGGCGTTCCTGCCTCTCGGTTCCCAAGAGAATCGGCCTTTTGTAAATGGTTCCTCTGTCAGTGCCGGGGGGAGGGGGACGGCTGAGGCCGTGCTTTCCTGTCAGCTCCTTCCCTTCCAGCCGAAATCCGAGCCCTCCCTTCCCAAACCTCCAAATTTAGAAGCCAGATTGAAGCTGAAATTCCTGATGCCACCTGGGCCCTCGGAAAAGCATCTGGGCAATCGCACTGATCCACGGCAACAGCTGGGGCGTACCTGGCCCCCCTCTTCCGCACAAACACACACAGCCCAGCCATCACTGCTGTCCACAGGCCCTACTGTGGCAGGCACTGCAGAGATGCTCCCAAACGCTCCTCATCCTCGCACCGACGGGTACCGCAGCACACTTTGGCAGGCAAGGTGGCAGCAGGGGGACAGCTCAAGTCCCAGCCGGCTCCGTAAACCTCACCCTATTCAAGCACCACGTGTTCAGGTCCAAAACCACCCTGCAGGTTTCTCAACAGCGGGCCAGCTTATGCAAGGCTCGCTGTTGTGCCTGTGCGCCGTGCAGGGTGGTGCTGCTGTAAGAGGGTGCCTCAGCGGGTTCAGCCTGGACATCATCGCACTGCTACTTTAAGAGCCCAAGGTTTAAATATACACGTGGCAAACACCACGACAGCGTATATTCATATCCCTGAAACGTCACCCAGGGGCAGAGAAAAATATCTGCTCAAGAGAATATTCTCTCATTTGAAGGAAAACAACCTACCTCGGTTGTAGCTCGCTGAAACAAAACCTGCTCTCATGTCAGTAAGACGTACCAGACCTACTATGGGAACTGTGGTGGTGTTTGCTACGTGTTTAACACCTTTAAAGGAGACCTGTTTCCAGCTGACAAGCTCAGAAGAAAAGAATATTGTTCATTTATTAAAGTCTTTAATCCCTTCTGTCTCTTTCC